GTCATGAATCATGCAGGAGGAAATGCTTACAAAATTCCACACGTCAACAAACAAAGATTTGAAAGAGATGGAATTCTACCTCCTAGGGTCCATTTCCCACGTGAAGTGTACTACAATACCTTGGAAAATCTAGAACAAGATGAACACTGAGGCTTGTGATGAGAGGTTGGATGATGAGATGCTTGTGATGAGAGGCATGTGATGAGAGGTTGGATGATGAGATGCTTGTGATGATCCATACATTTGTACTCCTTCTAATGAGAGGCTTGATGAGAGACTTGTGATGTGATCCATATGTGTGTATGCATCATTGTGGATTTCTTGTGTGCATCATTGTGGATTTCTTGTGTGCATCATTGTACAGCAAGTAAAAGAATTCCTAAGAGTAATCCTAAAATAAATCCATTTATACTCCTACAAATTCAGATAAGTACATAATATAGCATATCATCACACTGAACTTAACTGAAGCTTTTAACTGAATTTTGCATCCAAATTTAATTAAACTCAAGCTTACTCTAACTACTTGAAATTTGCTTCCAAATCCTATAACTACTCCATAATACAGCACATCATCTACCCATACTCCTGCAGAAAGGAGTAGAGAGGATTAAATGAAAAGAACAAGCCAAACAATCACATGAACAAGTAGGAGTACGACTCACACTTCAATGAAGAACTACTACCGCAGGAGCATGAAAAATCACACTTCACATAAACAATTCCATTCCATTCCAGAACAGAGTGTGCATGCTTACAGTACTCCAGAGAGTGTCGGTCCACAAAGGGGTCTTCTTCAGACATGGTGCAGACATCAGCAACAGCAGCATCGGTCCACGATCTTGGACTGAAACAACGCAAAGAGAAAAGAAAGCTTACTCTAACTACTCCAATAATCCTCCATAATGTACAACAAGCAAACATCTTTTAACTGAAAATGTATAGTTAACTGAAAATGTACAGCAAGCAATCAAGTTACTCCTACAAATGTACAGCAAGCAAGCATGCAAGCAAGTCACTAGAGCATCACTAGAGCAGTACTCCTTTTGTTTCCTTTGTTCCTCACAAGCAAAAAGCAGATCTGAAGCACAAGCACAAGCTTTAGTGAGCTCAGTAAAACTTCACTACTTGCACATCACTACAAGCATATGTCAATGGAGTAAAATTCAGTAAACATCACAAGGAGCAGCCAAAATTTTACAGGCAAAATTCAGTGAACATCACTACAAGCAAAAGTCAGTGATGTTTACTCCATCACAAGAACTTTACTGGACTTGAGCCCCATCACAAATTCAGAAGATCTATAGCAGCAGCTGAAGGAAATATGCCCTAGAGGCAATAATAAAGTTATTATTTATTTCCTTATTTCATGATAAATGTTTATTATTCATGCTAGAATTGTATTAACCGGAAACATAATACATGTGTGAATACATAGACAAACATAGTGTCACTAGTATGCCTCTACTTGACTAGCTCGTTAATCAAAGATGGTTAAGTTTCCTAACCATAGACATGTGTTGTCATTTGATTAACGAGATCACATCATTAGGAGAATGATGTGATTGACTTGACCCATTCCGTTAGCTTAGCACTTGATCGTTTAGTATGTTGCTATTGCTTTCTTCATGACTTATACAAGTGCCTATAACTATGAGATTATGCAACTCCTGTTTATCGGAGGAACACTTTGTGTGCTACCAAACGTCACAACGTAACTGGGTGATTATAAAGGAGCTCTATAGGTGTCTCCAAAGGTACATGTTGAGTTGGCGTATTTCGAGATTAGGTTTTGTCACTCCGATCGTCGGAGAGGTATCTCTGGGCCCTCTCGGTAATGCACATCACTATAAGCCTTGCAAGCAATGTAACTAATGAGTTAGTTACGGAATGATGCATTACGTAACGAGTAAAGAGACTTGTCGGTAACAAGATTGAACTAGGTATTGGATACCGACGATCGAATCTCGGGCAAGTAACATACCGATGACAAAGGGAACAACGTATGTTGTTATGCGGTTTGACCGATAAAGATCTTCGTAGAATATGTAGGAGCCAATATGAGCATCCAGGTTCCGTTATTGGTTATTGACCGGAAACAGTTCTAGGTCATGTCTACATAGTTCTCGAACCCGTAGGGTCCGCACGCTTAAGGTTTCGATGATAGTTTTATTATGAGTTTATGAGTTTTGATGTACCGAAGTTTGTTCGGAGTCTCGAATGAGATTACGAACATGACGAGGAGCCTCGAAATGGTCGAGACATGAAGATTGATATATTGGAAGCCTATATTTGGATATCGGAATTGTTTCGGGTGAAATCGGGATTTTACGGGAGTACCGGAAGGTTACCGGAACCCCCCGGGGGGCTTAATGGGCCTACATGGGCCCTGGTGGAGAGGAAGAGAGGAGGCAAGGGCTGGCCGCGCCCCCTCCCCCCGTAGTCCGAATAGGACAAGGAGAGGGGGCGGCGCCCCCCTTTCCTTCCTCTCTCCCTCCTCCTTCCACCCTTCTCCTTTTCCAACTAGGAAAGAAGGGAGTCCTACTCCCGGTGGGAGTAGGACTCCCCCTTGGCGTGCCCTCCTTGGCCGGCCGCCCCCTCCCCCTTGGCTCCTTTATATACGGGGGCAAGGGGGCACCTCTAGACAACAATTGATCTCTTGATCTCTTAGCCAGGTGCGGTGCCCCCCTCCACCATAGTCCTTGATAATATTGTAGCCGTGCTTAGGCGAAGCCCTGCGACGGTAGAACATCAAGATCGTCACCACGCCATCGTGCTGACGGAACTCTTCCCCGACACCCTGCTGGATCGGAGTCCGGGGATCGTCATCGAGCTGAACGTGTGCTAGAACTCGGAGGTGCCGTAGTTTCGGTGCTTGATCGGTCGGGCCGTGAAGACGTACGACTACATCAACCGTGTTGTTCTAACGCTTCCGCTTTCGGTCTACGAGGGTACGAGGACAACACTCTCCCCTCTCGTTGCTATGCATCACCATGATCTTGCGTGTGCGTAGGATTTTTTTTGAAATTACTACGTTCCCCAACAGCAGCATCACTAGAGCAGAACTACTACAACAACACCATCACTAGAGCAGTACAGTAGCATCATCGGGGCAGAACCACTCCGTCGCAGCATCACTTACGTAGCAGCATCAGTACAGAGGACAAGCAGAAGGACTCACCTTTGTCCTGGTGGTCGTGCAGTGGCCGCCATAGCCGTTCCTCCCGGCGCTGCTCCTCCCGCCGCTACGGTGCCGTCAACCGCTTCAAATCCAGCGCCGCCGCCGCTGCTACGGCGCCGTCAACCGCTTTAAATCCAGCGCCGCCGCCGCTGCTATGGTGCCACCAGTCGCTTCAGATACAGCGCCGCTGCTGCCTCCTCTCCAGTACCCATCGCCTCTCCAGATCCGCCGGAGTAAAAAAAAGGCATCTTTGGAAGAGAGGCGACGACACCAGACGAGGAGAGGTGACGATGCCATCTTTGGAGGGGAGTAGGTGAGCGAGCGGGATGGGAGAGGAGACGCCGGCTAGAGGGAGGCTGCGACGACGCCGGCGAGAGGGATGCGGCGGCGACGACACCGGGGAGGAGTGGGTGAGCTAGGGATTTGGGGCTGTCGGAGAGAGGAACGCGAGACGAGTGGGATTTGGGGTTGTCGGAGAGAGAACGCAAGACGAGAGGAGTGGGAGTGGTCGCGAGGGCAAAAGTGGAAACGTCAAAAATTTCGTAACGCTCGGAAATTTGTACGCGAGGAGGAAAAACGTCCTACATTTTGGGACGGAGGGAGTAGAAAACAAGGAAAGAAACTGGGGGCATTGGTAGCGACAACCAACGCACTAGGTGATGTAATCCATCCGAGTGCAAAAATGTGTCACAAAAAGGAAAGTGAAACAAAACTGGGTGCCCCCTCCAATTCATCTTACAGGATTGCTAATACACAATCACCTGAAAACTCCCTGAGTTTTAGTCAATCATCTCGACCGACATGATTTGCTTTGGGATTAGGAGAACAACATGATATGATGACCTAAGGGTGGTGAGGATTGACTGCAATAAATAAGAATTGTATTTTTTAAGGAATAAATAGGAATTGTATTGCACACATATCCAAGAGTTTACGAGTTAAAATGAACAAACTATATGTACCTAGGTAGAGGAAGATACATTATAGCATTATCACATTGGTAATATTCATCTAAACTGAATTTGAAACATGTGGCTGCAAACACTCGCTTCAGTGTGCCAAGAATTGGAATTTGAAACACAAAGTTGGAATACATAGCCTGACAGAGGCCCGCCAACATAAAGAAATGAGTCATGAAAAACTAAGTCCATCCTGGTAAAAAAAATGTGATGCACAAAAAAGAAGGAAAAACAAAACTGTCTCCCCCTTGAATTCATCTTACAAAATTGCTAATACACGCTCACCTGAAAACTCTTTAAGTTTCATTCAATCATCTCAAAATAATGACTTGCTTTCAGATTAGGACAACCATGATATGAGGATCTCAGGCTGGTGCAGATTGACCGCAATAAAAAAGAATTTCAATTGCGTGGTGCAATGATAAGCATTCACTAGATTTTTCCCACGAGCACAAGAATATAAACACTACTGTATCATGTAAACAAGAATGGTCAAACTGAACAATCAAGCATTAGACAAGCTGCGTGTTAATTATGAAGGGAAGGAGATAATCAGGATACAAAAAAAATTACCACTTCATATTGTCGGTGAAGACAACAACGATGGTAGGAAGTTGGTGTATATGAGTGTATGAAGCGTGCATTGCTTTGCACAAACCATCTGAAGCTGCATCGTCTTGACATCCAGTGAGAAATATTCAAAGAGTAACTTCACTAGAGGTGAGGTTTTTCTCCTTGTGAAGAGCAAGTACTTCTGGGTTGCATCTCTGATAAGATATTTGTACCTAGAATCTAGTGAGATTGTCTTCTCCACCTGCCACTGCCTAGGACTCCCACTTTCGTTTTGCGCAATTGTATAGCTGAGATGAGATGCGAATTCACCATCGAAACACAACATCCCAAGCCTGCCTTCCCCTGCCTCCACAAAGGCTAAACCTTGCATACTCCAATCTCCAGGTGGGAGGTCAGCAACAGAGAATTCCATCCTGATGGTGTCAAACACAAGCAACTTATTTATGCTTATCACAACCCAGTCCCAGTAGAAGCAACCATAAGCATAATGGCGCCTCTGACAAGAAACGGGGCCATGTGACATGGTGATCGACTCGAACCTGTCAAGGCCCAAATCTCTCAAATTCTTGGATGCAGTAGCTTGCCATTGTTCAGTGCTGGAAGAGAAGACGAAGGCAGACAGACTAGTTTCGCACTGTGCCATCAAGATGACTCTGAATGTTGTCTCTCCAGCCGCTGCCTCCTCCTCGCTGAGGGGAACGAGGAAGGGCTTGCAGCGTGCATCGCGGGCCATGGGAAACGAGTGCTCAAGCGAAGCGGCTAGGTGGTGAGGTACCGGGGGGAGCAGGACGTACCGCCGGTGCAAGGGACCGCACACCGCGAGCTCTCTGAAGACCGGAGACCGCTCATCTTCTCTGGGGTCGCGGTTGAGGAGGACACGGCCGTCGCAGATGTCCTGGACGGTCCAGCGGCAGTGGGAGGGGAGGAAGGCGAAGGAGAAGTCAGCAGCGAGGGCGAGCGCGCAAGCGGCGGGCCCGGAGGGGTTAGGCGGCAGGGCTGGGTGGAACCCGTCCGAATCGAGGAAGCCGAGAAGTAGTGGTGCGTGGAGGCAGCGGAAGCGGCGGAGGAAGCACCGGTCGGTGGCGAGTCGGCGGAGGCGCGGGCGAGGTCGGCCGGTTCAGGCAGGCGGAGGAAGATCTCGGCCAGGAGGTGGTCCGGGATCTCCGTCAGAGGCGACGCCATCTCCTGACCGGCCGGCAGAAGAGGTGGCCGCCGGGAACCCGCGACGGGATGGGAAGAGGAGGTGCGGATGCCGCCGCCGGCGGCGGCGGCGGCTCGTATGCGGCAGTGCGGGTGCGGGATTGGGATTTGGCGAGTGGTTTTTTCTTCCCTTTGTGCTGCCAGCAGGTGGTCGGGGATGTCCGTCAGATGAGACGCCATTTTCTTCTTGCGGCGGGTCGCCACTGGCGTGGAGTGGGGAATGGCCGGCCGGCGAGGTAGGGCGGAGGAGGCAGCCGCCGGGAAACCCTTGTGGAGTGGGGAATTGGGAGGAGCTGTCGGCTTTTTTTTGACGGGTAACTAGGAACTTTATTAAGCAGTAATCAACATCGGAATACAAATAATGTCTGGTACGGTCCCTAGCCAAATATGGCGCCCTACTGGAAGAGAAGACGCTGCTTTCCCCAGTGCATGGGCTTTAAAATTATTTTCTCTATGTTCAAACTTGAACTTTACATGGTTGAAATCCCTTCTCCTCGCCGTTATTTCATGTAGCACTGGTGAATAATGTGTCGCCGATGATGTTCCTATACTGTTCACCACCTCCAAGCAATCGCTAGCAATCAGCAAGTCAGTTAGCTGTAGATCCATGGCCAGCGCTAAAGCTTCATTGCATGCATGTGCCTCCAACGCAACTGCATCATTCAGGCCATCGAAAACCAGTGCCGAAGCCCCCAGGAAAAGACCCTCCTTATCTCTGCAAATCACCGCAGCTGCCCCAACATGGCCCTGTCTCGAAATACCCCCATCCACGTTGAATTTTGCTTCATCTTCCTCAGGTGGAATCCATGCCTTATGCCGTGGCCGGGCACCGACATTCGGCATAGCGGTAGTGTTCTTCTGTTTCACTGCAATCTCAAGGTCTTGAAGGCACCTCGTGATGAAGCACCAAGTAGACAAAGGGCTCTGAAATTCATTGTCATGGATTGCTCTCCTCCGCGCCCACCAAAAAGCCCACATGGTGATCAAGACTTTGGCAAGCTCCTGTTCATTTAAAGTATCAAAGAGCCAGAATAGCCACAGCCTGGGATCCTCTGATCTATTGGAAATAACATGCTCCAGTATCTCTTCTTCACCAAGTGCCCACACACAACGAGCCATTCGCCAATCAAACAAGGAGTGGCGCCATGTGTCTTCCTGTGCATTACATAAGTTGCATGCCTCTGTTTCTGCCATGTTGCGTCGGTGCCGTGTTACCCCAGTAGGAATTGAGGAATGTGCGAGGCGCCAAACAAAAACCCTAACCTTCGACGGCACCCTTGCCTTCCAGAGGCGAGTCGAGTCCCGCTTGGTCGCGGCCTGGTTGGATGTGCTCGCGTCGTGCTGAATCCAGTTCTCCCGCTGAAACTTTATGCCCGTTAGCATCCTGTATGCTGATTTGACCGAGAAGATACCTCGGTTGTCATAGTGCCAGGCATAAAAATCCTCTTGCAACCTTGTACTCAGTGGTATATTCATGATAGCATCCACGTCTGGGCCGACAAAGTGTTCAACAAGCATCTGTTTGTCCCAAGTTCTCGTGGCCGGGACGATCAGCTCCGAGACATGTTGCGATGGATCAGCCCTCAAAGCACAAAACGGCCTCAACTTAAAATCACGCGGTATCCAGTTTTCGCTCCAGATGTGAGTTTCCTCGCCTGTCCCAATTTTTTTGATAATTCCGAGTGCTAGTATCTCCTTTCCCTCCATGATAGAGCGCCAAACCCGAGAAGGTTGACTCCCTAGAGAAGCCTCAAGGATGCTGCATTGTGGGTAGTAGCGTGCCTTAAGCACTCTCGCACTTAGAGAATCCGGGTCCTGTAAGAGGCGCCAAGCTTGTCGGGCCAGTAAAGCTAAGTTAAATAGTTCGATATCTCTGAAACCCATCCCTCCCATGAACTTCGGTTTGCACATAGTGTTCCAAGACACCCACGCCGTTTTCCTTTCTCCTCTTGTGCTGCCCCACCAAAACTTCCTGATTAGACCGTTTATATGCTCACATAAACCCCTTGGTAATTTGAAACAGGCCATAGAATAAGTCGGTATGGATTGTGCCACCGATTTAATCAGAACTTCCTTCCCTCCTGCTGACAAACACTTTTCCATCCATCCCTGGACCTGCTTCCATATCCTATCTTTTCCTTCTCATGTTAGAATATATTCATTTTGGCCTTCGTTGGTAACAATGAGCCCAGTTTTCAGGCCCCGCTAAGACTGCCATCTAATCGTACCCAAAAACAAATGACAAAAGGAATTAAACTTGAGCTGTGTTTTATTCTCAAAAAATAATTATTGTTCTACATTTAGGATTTCAACTGGCCTCCTCGACAACCCCTAAAAAATGGCCTCCTCTACAACAAAAAATTGGCCTCCTCTACACCTAACAGCTCTAAAAACATTTTTCTGATGTGTCTACGCTTCACCACATCCACACTAGGTATAACAGTACTGCAAGTAATGCATATCTATATGTGCCTAGGCAGGCCCAGGCTTTCCTTTTCCGAGAAAAAAAAGGTGTGTACCCAGTGAGAAAGTTTATACGGTAAAATCTTATGTGGTAGCCAGCCAATGCAAGTGTTTCATCTAATACACGAGTCTAAAAAAACTATTATTCAAAGACATCTGGGAGTTCGAGGCTCAGAATAGGCCGTTGAACGCGTGTATGAGTATGGCGCAAATTCTTATTCGTAGACATTTATTGTGACTAATGATATGGTACAGGGTGCATGTTTGATATGAACCATATTCTGACTAGTTCATGTTCTTTTCTGCTTTCTACGACTCTGCCATCGATAGGTGTTTGGTGTGCATGTTTAATGAGATGGGTTAGAGATTCATGGAGGAGAAAAGATTCAAGACAAGTAATGAAAAATCGTAGTTGCGTACATGCCCACTGCAAGTTAGGAAAAAAATGCAACACTCATAGTGATTGCCATGTTACTCCTCTCATGGGACCATAGTCATGGTT